CCCCAAAACCCCAAAACCCCAAAACCCCAAAACCCCTAAGATTGTTTGTGATGTTGAAACAATATTTACTCTGGGTCTTTTATCCCATCTTCTGTGATAGCAAAAGTAGCTTCTCCTTCTGGCAAGGACGGAGAATCGTATATTTTACATATCCTCTGCTCAGCTCTGCCTTTTCTTAGATAAAGCCTGGTCTGTCAGGCATGAGCCATAATATGACCTCCGATTGGCTTCTTATTATCTCCTCCAAACATTGAAGCCCCATCAACATTGGCAACCACTTGGTTGGTAATGACGACTGCTACTCCAAACTCATCGGCAATTCTCTGGAGCATTCTTAAGAACTTGGCCAGATGCATCTGTCTGGAGCTAAGTTCTCCCCTCCCACTATAATCTGTTCTATAAAGAGCAGTAGCACTGTCTACTATTAGGCATGAGAACTTGTTCTCAATCATTAAGGCTGCTGCTTGTCTTAGTAAAGTGTTCTGTTGATCCGTTGTGTAGGCTCTAGCATAAGCAATGTTATTCAGTACTTGTTGCTCATCCATCTCATATGCTTTTGCAATATCAGCAACTCTCTCTGGGCGGAAGGTTCCTTCTGTATCTATGTACATTACCATTCCTTGACCTCCTCCATCTTCTACTGCTAGTTGAGAGGTGACTCATAAAGTAGATCATAGTTGGGTTTTTCCTGTTCGAAATTCTCCAAAGAGCTCTGTGATTGATCCAGACTCCATTCCTCCCCCAAGGAGTTCATCTATAACAAATTAGGTTAAAATTTCTGAGGTCTGTACCTAAATTTTTGGATCCTGTTCTGATAAAAACTATCTCTTTCCTATTTTTGGAAATATTGGAATGCGTTTTGGAACCCGCACTCTCTCAAAGACTGGCAAGCAGTCATTATTTTCTCAATTTTATTCTCTGAAAGTCCTTTGATTGATATAAGGTTTTTGAGAGGAGTGAAGAGGATGCTCTCCACTGTATTGAACCCTGCATCTTTCAGCTTATTTAATATCAGCTTGGCCTATTCCTTTCTCAACAAGATTTTCGACAGGAAGAGGTCCATCCATTCTACAAATTAGCAGAGGCTTACTCGTCTTCTTCTTCCTGATGTTTTTCTTGAGACTGCTCCTCTTGAATAGATTTTTGTTCTTCCTTTTGTTCTTCTTTCTGCTTCTTTGACTTCTTCTTCCTGCCCTTGCTTTTGCTTCTCTCTCTTTGCTCCATTTTAGATTATTTCTATTTTGCGCAAAAATTAGGGGTTTTGGGGTTTTGGGGTTTTGGGG